TAGGGGGGCGCACGGCCTGGTGTTGCTAGGTGCTGTGCAGCCTCCCTTGCCATTGAGCCCAGCAGCTGGTAGAGGGCTCCCAGCCTTTCCCCAGGGGACCTTGGCTGCCCCAGGATATTACAAGGCCAGTGAGCGCCCCTGCTGCTCGGTGTTGGAGCGACACACTCAGCGTGGGCAAGGGCAGGCGCGTGCAGGGTCGTGTTAGCCGCCCGTGATTAGGCCGCCTAACACGATGTGAGACACGCAGGCCTTGTCTACGTGGGGCAGTTAGCAGCCTTTCTAACAGGGTGTAATTTCAGTCTCTATAACGCTTGTAGAGGGTGACACACAAAGAGCCTGGCTCCTACCTACCCCTATGGAAATCTGCCTATCCAACCCTGTATCTACCTTTCACTGCTGCCCATCACCACAGTACTTGAGCCCTTTCCACATACAATCAATAGCAATGTTCCTCCTGGACTTTGTGGAGTCTCTGGCACTTCTCCTTTTTCAGGGTAAAAGCACTGCATGGGTTAGGGGCTTTGTTTTTGACATTTTTAGATTTTAATTCCCCACCCCCTTTTTTTGGTAGGGGTTTAGTGGATAGAAGGGGGATGTCAGAAATTTAGCCTTTAAACCAATGACTCATTGCCGTGTTACCACCTCTGAAACATATCCGACACTGTGCTGATAGTGACTGCATCAGTAGCTGCTACTCACATAAGGCAAAGAGCCCAGTACTGTATTCCATTGCAAAGTTAACTCATCATGTGCTCCCTTTAGGGCCTCATCCTCCAAGTGGGGTGGCCACCTTTTCAAAGTGCAAAAAGAAGACACATGCAAGAACCCCACCCCTTCTGTGGTCCTGCCCCTGCTCTTCCTCTTCCCCCGGGCCCTGTCCCTTGGCCAGGTTGGAAGGTGGAGCAGACTGTGCTAAGAGCCACCCAGGGAGCCCCGGACTCTCCACCTACCCTGGGTGGGGGGGTCAGGGTGCCCAAGAATAGTACCTGACGTGTCCCCGCCCCCATGGGACGTGCCCAGGCTCTGTGGGCAGCTCTTACTATTGCCCAGCTCTGGCTTCTGACCTCAAGGGGAAGAGGAGGCGCAGGGGGCAGGGCCTCGTGGCAAGAGGAGGCTACGGCCCACCTCAGCGCCCGCGACTGCGAAGAGGCTGAGGCTGTCCCTAAGCCTCGGGCAGATGCAGAGTAGCACTGCAGGGAATTGGGGACAAAAGCTGTCCCAGAGTCATTCAGCCTGGGACCAGGACTTGAAATGTACATTTTGGGACTGTGCCATCCAGTTAGGGAAAGGTGGTCATCCTACCTGCAAGGTGTTGAGCCACCTTAGTTTCCACTGAGCTCAATGAATTGTGGGTGCCTGGTGCTTCATGGAATCAAGCCCACATATAGTACTTGCAAGAGGGTTGATGCTGCCACTTGCACTGTATGTAGGCCCATCCTGATTTTACTTAGTTGGTCCTGTATCTGTTAGTCTTAAAGGTGCCACAGGACTCTCTGTTGCTTTTTACAGATTCAGACTAACACGGCTACCCCTCTGATACTTAGTTGGTCCTGTATTTGTACAGCTGCCCTGAAACTAATTTGAGGCCAAATTTACTTGTGATGCACATACGTTTATCCTACAGGGCAAACTGCGCAAAGTTATAACCGTTTATTGAACCCACCTTCCTCCATGCTCATGTTTATGCATACTACTACATACCAAAATAGTTTGTTGTGATACAGCAAGATTTATTTTTAAACAGTGGTGGAAAAATTTAACTTGATTTGCATTCACTTCTTCCTCCCTAGATTTGAAATGTAAACATTAAGCTGTTCCCTTTATTTTATGTTTTTTATCTTTCTCCTGTTGAAATATGAAAAACAAAGTTAGACTAAATAAAGACTGAATAAATAAATAAATAAATAAAGACTGAATAAAAGTCAACTGAATTTCATGTCTTTGAAAGCAAGTGGTACAAACAATAGCTGGGACTCCAATATAGGATATATCAATAACAGTTTTTTGACTTACTTTTAGTGCATTTTAGAATTGGACAGACCAGTTGAATATATTATTTAATGTTCAGGATCTTAGCTGTCTTTGACTCTTTAGGTACCTATAAAGTTAGACATACTGTTAACCTGCAAGTCACGTTTGTCTGAATGTTTTGAACCTACTTTTTAACTACCGTAATACTTGAGATTACTGTACAGCTGAAAGAAGTTAGCAGGAATAAGTATTTTTTCAGTTTTGACAGTGTTTTGTGTTTGGCTATGTGCATTAGCATTTGTAGGATTAGGACCATAGTTTTCTCTCTCGTTGAAAACAAAACACTTAAACTTTTTTAAAGGAGTGGCTTTTTTTCTTTTTTTTTTTTAAATAAATCAGGACATAGTATTTAAGAGGTGTTTTCTCAGAAACTTGTATTTTGTTAACTTGTTTTTAAATTGACTAATTTAACTGTATTCCTTTGTCTGTGCCTTGAATATAGTTTGTATTGCACACATAGATTACTGGATTATTTAAATTGTCATTTGCTTGTTCATATTACTAATTTTGATTGACTGGTTACAGTCCCTCTTCTCTACATTGACTTGACTTTAAATAGTCTTAATGGTAGAAGTAGGATTGCCAACTTTGTAATATATAAAAACTGGACACTCCAGCAGGAATGCAGAACCTCCCCTGAGGCCCCCCCTGGGAGCTGCAGCTGCCAGACGCAGGTAGAAGGAGGCCCTGGCTGAGTAGGGGCTGGCGTGGGTGATGACTTGGCGCCTTCCCGCCTCCCTGCCTGCAGTAACTGGACTTTGAGTGTCTGGTCAGTAGATATGACTGGATGCCATCAGGTCCCCTTTTCAACCAGACTTTCTGGTCGAAAACTGGCCACCTGGCCACCCTAGGTAGAAGAATAATGATTAGGTTTTTTACATTTTTTGTTAGGTACACTCCTGCAGCTATTTCAAATTGTGGTTGTTTTTTTTTGTTTTTAGGAAAAATGGAGGCTTCTTCCAGCTTTTCTAAAGGTCAGTGTTGCTTTATATGTTTCACTTGTACATGAATGTTCAAGCTCTTAAACTGAAAACAATTTAACTAGTGCAAGACTGATTTGCTACAGACACTGTTTTGACAAGATAAAAGATGGTCAGACTGTGTTTTAATCTTAAAACCTAATGCATTCATTTTAAAATCCTATGTCAGCATTGCACATTCTTGCAGATTCTCTAAACTTTTTATTTTCAGCCCTTGTCCTTCAGCACAACCAAAACCCTTGCGTTCTCACATTTAGTTTCCTTGCTTGTAAAAGTAGGGACTCCCCAATGGTCTCTTTCTGCTCTCCCAACTCTAATTCATGGCTGCCCCACCTCTCACAATCCATTAATGCCTTGTATAGCCAGACCTTCCTCCAATCCTGTATGCTCCTCAGTCCACCCTCCAGAGCATCAGAAAGCTTCCCTTTCTCTGATTAACCTCAAAAGTTCTCTGTTTTGTTTCAGGCTTTTTTCTATGCTTTTTTTATTTTATTATTCCCTACAACATTTTCCCTCTTTATCAAGTCCATTATTTTTTCTTCTTTCTGCCTTTCCTCTTATTTTTAACCTTCTTCTATGTCTTTTCCTCTGTTATTTCCCAGACCACCTGTCCCCTTTGCATCTGGAGTTTGCATTCTCTCTACAGTCATCCAGTTCCTGCCCCCATAATTTGAGAGGCAAGCCTATTACATAAATGAAAGTTTCTTGATTAATCTCAAAGGGAATAGTTTGAGGCAGCCTCTCTTTAGAAGTAGCCAATTTTTTAGCCAGTTTGAAACAGTAGTTTATGAAATACAGACAGTGATTTTTGGTTTGTTTTTTATTTCAGTGTTACCCAAAGAACCAATCTAGCTCATTGGTCTAGGGTCTGTAAAACATTTACTAGGTAGTTATGGTCTCTGTCCCATAGAGCATGCAATCTAAAATCCTGATCCTGCAAAGATGCATGCATGCATGACTTCACTCGTGCATGTGAGTAGCTCTGCTGAACTCAGGGACAACTCTCATAAGTGTTTAGGACCCAAATCTGCAAAGCTAACTCACAAACTGTGAGTAATAATAAGTAGGAGGGAGGATGACTCTGACAGTAACAATACCGTGCAGATGGCAATCTAAGCTGCTAATGTGCACAACTAGATGTAAACATTTAATATTAGCACTTTATAAATTCTCTATCAAACCACAGCCCCCTTTGCTCCTGTAGCATCATCACTGCAGTCCCTTCCAAAGTGACCGTGGGTGCACTGCCTATTTTTATATTCTTATTGCATTGTCTTTTTTCCTTCACTTGTATATAGACTCTCTGCAATCTAGTATTATTAATTCCCTTTTCAATATACCCCACAATTCCTGCTCCACAACAGTCCTGCTCCTCCCCCTATGTAGGGCTGTTAAACCACCAGGAGTCTCTCACTACCTCTGCTTCTGCATGGGGGCAGAATGGGTCCCTGCATGTATCCAGTGCAGAAGAACAAAGTCCAGCAGTCATTTATGTGCTTTAATGTCAATCTGGCCCGGGGCTGTGATGGTACCTTGGGCCTGCCCAATACCTAATACCCATCTCATTTACGACCCCTTCCTTACATCTCTACCAGCCGCCCCCGCAAACTACTTGCAGAGGCTTGAACTAGTGACATCATCAGAATTCCCGAGGCTGTAAGAATGTTCTTACTGGGGGAGGACTGTTGGGCCCATGTACCCCAGTGTCCTGGTTCTGCAGGCATGGGTGGAGGAGATGCAATTTACTGCATGCTTTACCTCAAAAGTCTACATCCTTCACTGTGTCCTTTTGTTATGTAGCATTGTGTTTGTGCCGACACCATACAATATAAATGCTGCGTATTGTGATTTTTGTGTTGGAGTCAAATTTTTGATAAATCTCTGTTCATGTCTTCTGAAAGAAGTTTAAAAGTTAGACAAATAGTGATAGAACCACATATTTTGTAGGTTCTACATTTTCATTCATTGTTCATATGCTGAGTTTTTGTAAAATGTTGTATATCAAAATAATTTTGTCTGGGAGTCATTTTTTGTTGTATTGCTTTCCTTAAATCCATGGGGACTACATAGAAATGTAGGGCTGAAAGGGACCTCAGTAGGTTATCTGGTCCATTTCCTTGTGCTGAGGCAGGACTAAGTATTATCTAGACCATCCCTGACAGTTGTTTTGTTTAAACTGTTCTTAAAATCCTACAATGACAGATTTCACAACCTCCCTTGTTAATTTATTCCAGTGCTTAACTGCCCTTACAGTTAGGAAGTTTTTCCTAATGTCCAAGCTAAATCTCTCTTGCTGCAATTTTAAGCCTATTACTTCTTGCCCTGTCCTCAGTGGACAAGGAGAACAACTGATCACCCTTCTCTTTATAAAAAACATTTTACATACTTTTGAAGGCTGCTCTCATGTTCCCTGTCAATCCTCTCTTCCTCTGACTAAACAAATACAATTTTTCAATCTTTTTTTTTATAGGTCATGTTTTCTAGACTTTTAATCAGTGTGGAGCCAGCTGGGTAACTCTTGAGTTAGCTTTTGCTTTCAATTAATTTTAAAGGGAACCTTAACACATTTTCATAAAGTGAATTATATTTGTATGTTTCCATTTGCTTATATATACACCTCTACCTCGATATAACGCTGTCCTTGGGAGCCAAAAAATCTTACTGTGTTATAGGTGAAACCGCGTTATATTCAATTTGCTTTGATCCACCGGAGTGCGCAGTCCCGCCCCCCCGGAGCACTGCTTTAGCGCGTTATATCAGAATTCGTGTTATATCGGGTAGTGTTATATCGAGGTAGCAGTGTATCTAGATATAGATAGATAGTCCTAACCACTGGACAAACCTTCCCCTATGAAAGCTTCCTTTCCTTTGCAGCTTGTGGCTAATTATTTCCGTGGAGTACTGAGATCCAGTGTCCTTTAGAGATGCTATGTTTAAAAAAAATGAATAAATGCAGTGCGTTATATTTACCTTCCATTTTTTATAATACAGTACAACCTTTCTAATGCTTGCATTGATTAAACTGAATCCTGAACAACTGCAGCATTGATTTCTACATGTTGATGTCTGGTGGGTCCGGCTTCTGAACCATCAATAAGCACTGGGTGGTGTAAGTGCTGGTAGGATTATGCTTCCTGCTCGGCAAGCAGATGGGAGGCTCTGTCTGGAGTTGTTAAAGTTTCTCCTGCGGGATAGGCCTAGAAGCTACTAGTTTCATGTCTGTGTCTCCTGGTACTTGCTTATTACTAAGGATAAGATTCACAGAGGTCACAGATTCTGTGACTTTCCATGATTTCCGTGACTACTTCTGGGGCAGGGCTGGAACAGCTGTCAGCCCCAGGGCCACCGGAGCAGCAGCCCCAGGCCTGAAGCAGCGGCTGGGGTTGGGTGAGCACCCCTGGGGCTGGAGCAGTGGCAATCACCCTTTCCCGCAGGAGCAGCAGTGGGACTGGAGCAGCTGCCGGCAGTCAGCCTGGGTGCCACCAGAACAGAAGCCATGGGCGACAGCCAGCCCTGGGGTGGGCCGAAGCAGGCGCTGTCAGAGTAGCAGCCGCTACCGGGGGGGCTGAAGCAGCTGCAAGCGATAGTGCTCTATTTGTTTCCCCCTCAGCCCCAGGGGATTTTTAGTAAAAGTCGGGGACAGGTTGCAGGCTTCTGTGAATTTTTGTTTATTGCCCACGACCTGTCCCTGACTTTTGCTCAAAATACCCGCGACAGAATCTTAACCTTACTTATTACATTCCTCCCCCAACTCTAGTGTCTCTGGGGCAGGTTGTCTGAGGCTTTTTTTTCCTCATTCAGTCTCTCACATCTTGCTGGACCTCTCCCTCTTTCTCCCCCACCTTATAGCTGTAACCTGAGTCTGCTCCTTGACCTTTTCCTTTAATCCCACACAGTTCTTCTGTCTTCACATCTGACAAATGGTTAATATCCCAAGCATCTGCCATAATGGCAAAGTGGCAAAAAATGTTAATTCACAATGGTTTTCCCCATTAATCATGCAAACTTATGAGGTTGTTATATGCTCAGTTTGTGCTATAAAACTAGTACATTTCAGTTGAGGCTTTGTTGAAATCTGTGGAGTTATGCTGCCGTAAACCTGGAGATGTAGTGTAGAATCAGGCTGGTCACCCTGTGGGTTTTCAGAAACTCCTCAGCTAAAAAACCTTAAAGTTGATCCAGAAACTATTATAAGTAAAATGAATTCCTACATATTAATTTCTGCATTGCTTTTGTGACCAATTTTCCTGAGGCTAATTCTGCTGTATATGTATTGTTTTATTTTAGGTGAAAGGACTTGTGAAGCAGCACATAGACTCATTCAACTATTTCATCAATGTAGAGGTATGCTTCCTTGCTGGGAAGGGAATAGGCCTAAATTTACAAAAGTCACGTGACTCAATCTTTTTTTTTCTTTTTTGCAGATAAAGAAAATCATGAAAGCCAATGAAAAAGTCACAAGTGATGCTGACCCAATGTGGTATTTGAAGTAAGCATAAGGTTGATTTCTGTATTGGTGGTAGCAGTATAAGTATTATCTTGCGTAACAATTTGTAATTGACTATAAAAATGTACGTGTGGTTACACTGTAATTATACTTGGAGTAGGATGAGGTAAACGACACTCCAAAAAAGAGATCACTATAGAGCTTTGAGTGACCCCATTAAACAGAATTGATAGCAATGCAGTAAAAAGACATTGTAGCGATGGTTTTTCAGTAGTTTGGTGAATTCTCATCGTTGAGGGCCCAATACAGCTCTTAATTTGCAACGGTAACGTTGCTTTTATTTTTGTATATGAATTCCAAGATTTATTTCCAAATTCCAGATAGAGCGTAGCTCAAGCGCTATGGGATACTCTGGGAAGACAGTTGCTATTTGTTTATTTTTAAAATGGAAGATTATCAAAATGAATTGTGTTGAAAAATGGACTCTGCTTCCTTCAGTTCTACCACACAAATATCTTAGTGGTTGATAATAGCAATGTTTGTATTACAGATACCTCAATATCTATGTGGGAGTTCCAGATGTTGAAGAAAGCTTTAATGTAACAAGACCTGTGTCTCCTCATGAGGTAATAGTGAATCCAACTGTGGATTTCATTTCATGTTTACTGGTGGGAGTGGGTGGGTAGATGTTTTGTGTAGTTTTTCCTGCTCAGGATCTCTTTGCTATCAGGAAAGATTCTTATAATGGCCAGGTATATTCCTAGTTTGGGAAAAGAAGGCATTATTAGTTAAGATTGTAATTGAAAGAAAATCACCCCAGTAGTTGTGAAATGACTAAATACCTGAATAAGTAATTGTTCATTTTTTAAAAATATCTTCTTCCGGTTTAAAGCAGCAGGCCCTCCTGATAAACCAAAATGAATATTGTATGAGAGAATATATATTCATATTTCATAGAAAAAACAGCTTTTAAAGAACATTAAGTTTGCAAAATCAACCACTCATAAGTTAGGAAGTGCCAGAATTAAAGTTGTCTATGTAATATTAATTCAGTCCCTTGTGTATTATGATCGTTTTTCCCTGTATCATGTTGGATGTCTGAGACAAACCCAGGACTAGAACCCAGAACCTAGTGTTTCTGGGTTCCCATCCAGTGCCTTAACCACAACAGAACATACTTAATGTTCTTTAAATGTAATCTTTTTTGCACCTTTGTAGACTTCGAGTACCTGTCTTTGAGAGCTGGTAGGTCCTCCACACTCTTGAAAATCAGACCATTTACTTAAGGGCCTACATATGGACTTTAGATTTTAAGCACCTGTCTGGCTCCTGTTCCACCTCTCTGCTCTTCATGGAATTTGTGTTCATTTTATTTTCTAAAAGGGATAAAATATAGGTAGGTGTTCTCAAGCTCTTTTGTGATCCAGACTACTTTTTAAAGGAATTGTCTCATGGATCACCACCTCCCTCTCCGTTCATCACCACATACCGTTCCTGTGACCATTATCCCAACTGCTCACACACGCAAGTAATATTAAGGAATTATTTAATGTTTTGTTTTTACTGCCATTTAGCAGCGGGAAAATAGGAGGAGAGCTGGCACCACGTGACCAACAAGTTTGAGAACTGCTGGTGTAAATTAATTTTTGTTACTGGAGAAACTGTTTGCCTTTAGCAGGGGGGAAAAAAGAGACATCCAATATGCAGTAACCCTTCGGGCCCATCTTGTGTATAGACATGTCCCCCGCCCATAGGGCAAACTGTCTTCCATCATAAACCCGCATTTTACTCTGTATACTGTTAATTCTGTATTCATAGCTGTACAAAACCTTCAATGAGTACATCAGAATCCTGAGAATTATGTGCCTAAATGAAGGTAACATACTCAAGGGCTGAGGCCATGAATAAGATACAGTATATAGCTTTGAAGTCTTCTGTTGATACAAGATTAATTTGCATTAACATTGAAGACGTGTATGTTTATGCAAAACTAGTTTGACATTAGATTACTGGCGTGGGGACTGGGGAGAGAAGACTGGTGAGATCAAGAACGTTCAGAATGACAGAGCCTTGGACTATTTTATGCCCTAGCTCTCTGCATGCTGCTCCTATTGATATCTGAGGAACTTGCATGTGGGGATTTAGGGAATTGAGAGAAAGTGACATTTTAAAATTTCAACCTTTTAGAACTCCTCTTTCGTAAAAGAAGCACCATGTAATTGTCCATTATTGTATTAAAAAGCTAGCTAAATGTCCTTTTTTAATCTTACATGTTGGCTGCCTTACAAGGCTTTCAATTGCTGTATGCTGTTTGCTGTTAAGATACAGTATGTAGAGACATGCCTGAACCAAAACACCAGATCTGAACACCGGTGGGAGTGGGAATGGTCTTGAAATCCAGTTTTCAATTTTTACATATTAACACTACCTGCATTTGAGGAAGGTGCCATCGCTTTAAAAGTTAAACTGCTTCATGTGGCCACAATGTTTCCATCTGAAGAAGCAGTTACCATGGCTGCTATTGAAGTCTTGAAACTTTTGTTTAAAAAAAAAAGACTTTGGAGTTCCTTGGATTTTGTTTGACAGACACTGAAGAGACTCCATCTAGCTCTCTTTTGCTTTCATCCTTCATGGTTGTAGGTGAGAGGCCCGGCAAAAGTGGGATCTTCTGAGTAGATCTTGAATCTCCACTCTGAAGTAAGGGTGAAAAAGTCTAACTATTTATCTCTTCCTTTTAAGTGTCGCTTGAGAGATATGACCTACTCTGCCCCAATTACAGTGGACATTGAGTACACTAGAGGTAGCCAGAGGATTATTCGCAATGCATTACCCATTGGCAGGTAAGATACAAATATCAAGATAGCAGTATCAGTTTTTGTGTGTGCCATCAATTCCATTGGTGTGAAAGTTAATCACTATATAAAAAAATTAGGGAAAGCTCATTTTCCACCTTAAAATTAAAATAAAAAATAAGCTCACAAGTGGAGCTTGGTGAATAGCAGCCGAGAAGATATGCTTCTGTTGGTCTCTTTGCAAATTTCTTTAGTTTTTCCAGACCTTTTGGAAGTTTTAATTTGAATCTCTTCCCCAATACTTGATTTATGCCTACCTAGAGAGAGAAATATCTAAGAGACAAATACTACAGCCTCAAGCAGGGCTATTTCAAAGCAAAAATTAGGCACATTAGCCTGACACTTCCGCCTTCTTTAACTGAATTGGAGAATTTTGGGAGGTCTGCTACTGAAAATGGATGGCAAAAACAATAAATGCAAGCATCGCTGGATTCCAATCTTGATAAAATTCTCCTTTAAAATTCTACCAATTTAGAGTCTAGATTGGATGTTGCAAATTGATATTTTGGGTAGATGTGGCTGTGTAGAGGCAAGAAAACCGGTTGAGTAGACCAAGGATGTGATTGCCAGTATGGCTAAGAACACTTAGTTCCTCAAGAAAGAGGATGGAATGTTTGAAGAGGGGGGAAAAAAAAGAAGTCCTGAGAATTCTAGAGGGGCCAGAGGACCCAGTCCCCATAGTTTTCACTAGGATAGGATTCCAAAACTCCTTAAAGAAGATAAAATGGTTCTTCTATAAACAAGTGTCTAACTGGCAAAAAATGGCAGTGGTCTACAGAGAATATTTCATATATCACCTGAAAAATAACACAGACTGAATATTGGCTGCAAGCAGCAGGCGGAAGAGATTAAGCTCTGAACATTCTCTAGTCCCTGACTTTAATTCCCAAAGCAAAATAATTTCTATTGAATTTGTTAAGAGAACATGGATCATAGAGCCAAACTTACCGTAAATGAAAATAACAAATTTATTCTTATTTCTGAGCCTTTAATTGATTGAAAGATAGTTTGAAAGAATTTCTGGGTACAAATAGGCTTTCATAATCATTTCATGCAGTGACTTAGATGTAATTTAAAAAAAAAGTGCATTTTCACAAAAACTTGTATGTAGTGATCACGTCTCAAGATACTTTTACACCGTTGCATCAGATACAGTGATATGTTGTGGCTACAGGAGGGAAATTCAGATGGGTGAGCACTTAGATTATCATAATTTACTTAATATTTTTCTTGATTTTTCTACTTTTTTTAACAATTGAAGGAATGAGGATTTGTAAAGCAATCATGGTATAAAGTATCAGGGGGTAGCCGTATTAGTCTGTATCCACAAATACAACAAGGAGTCTGGTGGCACTTTAAAGACTAACAGATTTATTTGGGCATAAGCTTTCGTGAGTAAAAAACCTCACTTCTTCAGATGCATGGAGTGAAAATTACAGATGCAGGCATTATATAATGACACATAATAAGCCAAAAAAGAACAAAGTATTACACAGACCTAGTGCCCTATATCAGTATACGAAAACCAGCAGCTGTATATATCTTCTCTTCTCCTCTCAAGTGAGAACATTACTGCAAGGAAAAAGAAAATATTCTTCTGGCATAGCACTGACTTACCAATCTATTTCGTGATTTGAAAATGGCTCCAGTGATCCTATGCATTTATAATTTTAATTCCAAATCCAATAGACTAACAAGTTCCATATCTGGATGAAAGGAAAGTCATAAACAACAAACTTTCAGCTTGGTTTACTTAGTAGAAATATTACTTTCAAAACAGTATCCAAAACTACTGGTTAGCAATGAACATTTTATATACAAGAACAGCCAATGATATAAACATTAAACACATCAGTCCTGTGATACTACTCTAGAGTAGATCGCTAAATACGTTTTTAAATGTATAGATTCCAAAAAGTGTGTTTTTTAAATATGTTAAAACAGGTAATATCTGGGTGGGAATATATTTCCACCTCTTTTTGGAACAATGTGTTAATCTTTTCATAAGCCTTTAAGTCAGTGTTTCTCAAACTGGGGTCGCCGCTTGAGTAGGGAAAGCCCTTGGCGGGCCGGTTTGTTTACCTGCCCCATCTGCAGGTCCGGCCGATCGCGGCTCCCACTGGCTGCAGTTCGCCGCTCCAGGCCAATGGGAGCTGCTGGAAGCGGTGCGGGCTGAGGGACTTACTGACTGCCACTTCCAGCAGCCCCCATTGGCCTGCAGTGGCGAACTGTGGCCAGTGGGAGCCGCGATCGGCCAGACCTGCGGACGGGGCAGGTAAACAAACTGGCCTGGCCCCCCAGGGGCTTTCCCTACACAAGCAGCGACCGCAGTTTGAGAAACACTGCTTAAGTTAATTTGCTTGCCCCAAGTGAGCACGTCATACTCTCCTGTTTGATTTGCAGTTCAGCTGGAAACAGAAAGTTCACATCAATTTTTTTTTCTTGCGCTCATTGTAGTGGGAGCATAGAGCAGCTATAAGTTTTGGTGGGGAAAGTGGCTTCTATTATCTTGTATGAGCGAAATCTTTGGCCAGAAAAACAAACTATAACATTTTATTTCATTCCAAATTAGTTTGCAAGCCTTTTGTATTTCTGTATGCACTTTCAATGTGCATTGGCTCATTATTCCTCTCCCCATTTTTTTTTGTTTTTTTTTTAAAAACAAAACAAAACATTTGAAGCTATTTGTTTGGGAGAAAAAGATCAATCTGACTCCTTTTCCTCAAATGAGTAAATCTGTCGTCTTGTACCATGACACGGAAGCTGCAAAGTAACTTGTTTTCCATCATTGAAAAATTGAGGGTTTGTCAAACCTGTTCCCCTTGGGTTTTCATCATGATATTTGCATGCCCCATTTTGGTTCTCTCTAACAACTGGTTATGATTCCTGAAATTAGTAACCAAAGAATTAGGCCGATCACATTTATGATCTAGGATAATGACTGGCATATGAAGCTACTTATCTCTAGTGAGCGAGTGAACACTGTGCCAAGAAGACATAACTGGAGCAATTAAGATATCTGCATAGATGCATTGCTGTGAGAAGATAGCAATTCTTTTTTTTTTAATTAAATACAGAAATTTACATACAACTAGGTCAATCACTTTTTATTTTTAGATTTAAGTATATAAAAATGGCCAAGAAGTCCACGAAAATTGAAAAGCTTCAAAGGAAAGGAATAAAGTTTTATTTAGCAAGAGATGACTGAATTTAAAGTTTTCAGGAGTTCCATTTGATGAAGTGGATATTTACTTGCATAGCGGCCTCATAGAGCTCTTAAACACATTAGGATGAAATTCATCCCAGTGAAGGGGGCCAGGATTATGAGAGACTTCAGCATTGCTGAAGTCTCTCATAAGCCCTAATTGGAGGATTTGTGTGGCGCATGGGCCTTACGCGGGCCTCTACAAAGGAGTGAATTTCACTGTAATGATGAATTAGTTACACTCATCTGTAGGAAGAACCGTGGCACATGGCAGTTTTTTAAGCAAATACAGTGTGTGACTAAATTACTTTTTATCATGTTCAGAATGCAATTTCCTTTTCTTTTGAAATAAAGTGCCCTTACATTTTTCATTGAAAAAGTCTATGAGAAGTAAGGTTTGGAAAAGTATCTTGTGAATCTGACTGAAAAAGCATTCTACAATAAGAAAAAGGGTGTACACCTCTGCATCACTTACAGACTTAGTTATCACAGATGCACAGTGGATAATTTTACTATGAGAACTCCAGAATTGCTTATTAACCAACAGCAAAAACTCAGACCTACATTGGCAAAAGTGAAACAGTTGAATGAAAGTTTCCTGGGATCTCGGACTCTTTTTGCTTGGATCACATATTACAGCACTTAGGTTTTTTACACATTTTGTCAGAATATTTGACAATGTTACACAAAATGGGATGGAGTAAAAGGAGAGGAACTTTAATTCCGTTTCCTTGCTTTTGTTACTTTGCTTCTGATCTCTACTTTTTCCAAGTCCCCTGGGTCTTAAATGTTCAACACATTTTCTCCAGTTTTGTCATCACTGACTGTTGTAAGGTCTGTGACTTCTCTTGTTGTTGTTGTTCTTAATTTACAGTATAAGGATAACTGTAGTTTTCTTACAGAATGCCTATAATGCTGCGCAGCTCCAATTGTGTTCTTACTGGGAAAACTCCAGCAGAGTTTGCCAAACTTAATGAATGCCCTTTAGATCCAGGTACTGTCTTCATCCAATTATTTTTCCTTCTGTGGCTTTAGTGTCTTTTTTTTCCTCTCTCAAAGATATTTTTAGAAAAATAATGTATATTGGGAGAAAAATAATCTTATCTGCTTGTATATACTAGTCATTTTCCTAAGAGGATCATTCAGGCTCTGTCTAATTATCATAATGGGTAGCTACTGAATATACACTAGTGGTTAAAGAAGCAAATAAGCTTTCATGTGCATTTCAAAAGGGATGAGAAACAGTTATGACAATATGGAAAACCGTATGGTCAGACAGGTCCCCTGGCCTCAGAATCCCAACATTTTGAAAGCGTTGAGGTAAGAATGCTGATTTGTGAGGGGAGAGTAAAGATTCAATTTATTAATCCTGGGACTGCTAAGAGGATAAAAGGACATTTTAAAAATGTACAGTATGGTGGAAAAAGAGCAAGTACTTCTGTACCCCTTCTTCTGTAGAGCAAGACCAAGGCGGAAAGTGATAAAACTGAAAGTGGGCGGCTTTTTAAAGTTTTGCACCTAACAGAAGGGAAGGGTTACTTACCAGTATCTATTGTTCTTCTAGTATATTGTTTCTTCATATCTGTTCTTTCTTGGTGTGGGCATATATATATCCCATGAGTGGGATATACAGAAGCAATCCTCAAAGGAGAGGAAATACTTGTTTACATTGTATAATTAACCTGTGGAATTCACAGCTCATGAAAGATACTGTACCAAATAGTTCAATAGTTTCTTTAACTGTTTATATGCATGACTAGCATTTATAGCTAGAGTACATAAGCTAGAGACAAATCTAACGCTTCAAGACATAAATTGATGACTTCTTAGAGTATGAGTGAAATTTTCCTTCACTGATATAATGTTGCATTATTGGCCAGGTGTACTTTTGCTTAAAGGAGCAGCCCAGTGCTCTGATCCAGTACAGCATCTCCTATGTTTCCCTTCTATAAGTAGGGATTTTAAATTAAAATTACTAATGTCAATAACCTGGCTTTACCATAATTTAAAAAAAAATTGTTAATGGTTCATAAGGAAACCACCAAAAAATAGAGAGAGAGAGAGAGAGATAAATAAATAAAAAATCCAGAGAGCTGGGGAAATACAGATGTTATCTCTACCCAAGTATTCATATATCTGCTTGTTAGCAACAGCTGTCAAGATCTTCATAATTTCTTAATTGTCCATACCACTTTTATTTTTTTTTATTAAAGACCGATTTAAATTGGTTGTATTTTTTCATCAGTATGTTGACTCATCTCTCTCTTCCTTCCCCCGCTCCTTTCCTGTCACTTATCAAACTGCTTTCAGGAAGTGCCTTTATCATTTCCCTGTTCCATTTTATCACTATGTTCATTTGTTATGATCACAAAACACCTTGGCGTAAAATGCTATACAAGATGAAGATTGTTCCGAGTCAGATTGATTAGAATACAATAACATGAAGTATAGAGTCTTCATTGCTTCAGTTATTACAATGGAATTGAAATGAGTGAAAAAAGGTTAATATAAAATTCATGTTTCACTGGAAAAAGTAATTATGGAAACCGAGCTTCTTAATTTGGGGCCATATGTTGTAATTTGCTGAGCACCTCACATGGTCAGTCCTTTTAATCATGATGTCTTAATCAGGTGCTGTTCTGGCAAACAATTTTATTTTTGGTTTAACTTGCAGTAGCAACAGTTCAACATCCTTTTGATAAATATTTTCTGTCTCCCTTAGGGTTCTCTTTAGCACCCATCATTATTGCAGATAAGCACTTTCCAGCAAGATCTTAAGATCCTGAGTAGATCAGCATAACAAGATTCCAACAAGATCAAATAGTCTTTTCTCTCTCCATAGTTATGAGGTTCCCCTTGGGTTAGAAATATATATATAACGTTTTGTGGGGATGGTGTTTATTCCTCCTCTTTTTCCCTAATATGTAATTCTCTTTATGCATTTCTTGTAGTTTAATTTTTTAATTTACTTTTGTGTTTATACATTGTAACAATTTTGAAAATATATCCTAAGAGGCGAATAATAGCCAAGGAAGATTAAGTGCAAACCCATTTTTTTTTCTCTGTTTGGTAGGTGGCTATTTCATTGTCAAAGGTGTAGAGAAAGTCATTCTTATTCAAGAGCAGTTATCCAAAAACAGGATCATTGTGGAAGCTGATAGAAAAGGGACAGTTGGCGCTTCTGTTACCAGGTACGGCAAATGCACTGCAATCACTTAAGAGTCTTGTTTATGTCATCACTTGGGAGTTAACTTTCATTTACTTCAATTTAGTGCAAAAAATATTGAAAGCACATTTAGCACCACTCTCCTGCTAACGTAGTTCCAATAACTTAAAGCCCAGTCCTGAAGTCCACTTGCCCAAAGACTTATTTACACAAGCTCCATTCAAGGAAAAAGTTAATCTGTTGGTGGTGGGGCAGGGGGGCAACTTAATCTTTGGCTAAGTCAGCTTAGTATGGACACAAAATCTATAGCTGTGTTTTTTGAGGGTTTTGTTTTTGTACTCCACAGATTGTTGAAGACTGCAGATATATTCTTATGGGTTGGGCCTCTTATTCTTAGCCAACCAGCTTTATTTTCTATTTCAGCTTTTGTGTTAATTTTTAATCAAAAACCAGTGCATCCTAAAGCACCTATTGCTGTGTTGTGAGCCACCTTATTTGCTTTATTAGTAGATGCCCCTAGCACTTATCTTTTCCTACTAGAGTACTATTACACAAGCAATCCATGTGAGTCCCAAAAGACTACAACAGGATGTGTGGTTATATCTCACTGCTGAAACTGTAACAGTCCTTGAGCATGGAAAGAGCTAATTGGATCCATGTGTCTGTTTATGTATTATCCACTTATGTTTTGCAATTTTCAATTAATCCTCATCCTGCTAAATTTAAGTCTGATGTTCCCCATCACGAGTAACCTTCTGTTATTTCTGGTCTATGCATCTGTAGCTGTTGTTTAAAATCAATAAAAGGCATTGGAATTTATTGATCTGAGTGAGTGAAATCTTCTTTATGAAGCACTTTAAAATGGTTAGGCAAAGGAATTACCAATGCAAGATGTGAATCAAACATAATACTTTTTTTTTTAAACTTTAGTTCCACTCATGAGAAGAAGAGCAGAACAAATATGATTGTGAAACAAGGAAGATTTTACCTGAGGCATAACACTCTGTCAGAAGATATTCCCATTGCTATTATATTTAAGGTAATATAACTGTCAGTTTACAAAACTTTAGTTCAAGAGCAAAGCTCTGTAGTAGCACTCAAGATTTAATATGTTCTGTAAAGGAATTCTGGACACTAACAGTTTGACAATAACTGGGTTTACAGCATATTATTAGAGAGAGTAGAGTAAAATATAGAGATACGGGGGAAAATGTTCAAACCTTTAATTCTTCCTGCAAAGGCCAAAAGCTGTCCTTGCTATATTTCTTTTGAAGGTAGTATATGTACAAGATACAAAATAGAACTATAAAATGTAGTTTGCTTAAAGTATTTTGAAAGATCTTTAAGGCATTTTTATTAGCAGAGAACTGGTGAACAGCTAAAGAGTGTTTGATTCAGTAATGGTGAAAGTAACCATGTATGTTTCATAGAATCATAGAAATGTAGGGTTGGAAGGCACCTTGAGAGGTTAACTGGTGCATGCCCCTGCTCTGAGGCAGGACCAAGTATACCTAGACCACCACTGAGAAGTGTTTGTCTAACTTGTTCTTAAAAACCTCTAATGATGGGGATTCCACAACCTCCCTTGGAAACGTATCCCAGTACTTAACTATCCTTATAGTTAGGTTAGATATCGGGGGAACTTTCTAAAATTTCTGTGCTGCAGATTAATCATAGAATCA